ACTTCTGAAGTATGCTGAAGTACCACACAATTCTGGGTCAGGTATTTTAAGGTCATTTGGGAAAATGGGCAAAATGCAGGAATGCCCTCAAACCTGAGAACTGGGAAAGTGCCATATGATGAGAGCATGTTAAACCACTCRCCGCTGCCTTGCCAGGAGAGTATGCCTTATCAAGCCAGCAGGTGACTGAAGGATGTGGAAATAAGTTGACCCAGGATCTCTGAGCATAGTTGATAGATTTGTAACACACACCAGCAGTGTTCWTTGTTCAGTGGAAACACAGAATTGACTTGTGAATAGCAACTGGGCTGGGTGTGCCAGTGTGGAAGCAGAGCTACAGTTCCTGTGCCTTCATTTGGCATCTTCATACTTGCTGGCTTTATTTAGGTGTTACCCAAGCTTTGTACCTGTGTATCTTGGATGTTAGTTTTCTCTCCTTTCCCCTGTCTCCTACAAAATATTGACAAGAAAGTGTGCCACTTCAGCTTTAAAAAAAAAAAAAATCAGGGGAATGTGAGGGTCAAGTTAGCATTTATCATGAACTGTGCATCCATTATTATGCTATGCTTGCATTAGTTAGTTCATTAACTCTGCATTGCAAAGGCAGGACATTTCCTTTCTTGCTAAATGAACTGCTGACTGACAGCCTAAACTTACTCTTAGCATCTAGTCTAACTTCAGACCTTCCTGTTTTGATTTTTATTTTATTTCATGGTCTAACTTGCATTTGTAACCTAACAGAAGGAGCAAGGACTCGACTAACTTGTAAGACTAATCTCAGTAGACAGTAGGAATTTGAATTCTCAAAGCCATGTGAAAACTTACACAGTTTTTACAACTGTGATACCGATTAATTAAGCACTTGATTGAAAAAGGCTGTTAATCCATGTTAGGCAAATTTTACTATGAGCTGGTATTTCAGATGGCATTTTATCTCCTAACAGCATCTGATGAATGAAGCGGAACATTCCATGAAAAGTGGAAAAAAATASAGCACTGTGTGCCACGGAGTTGTAGTCTAGTTGCTATAAGCATCATTTTGTTTATGACTCATTGTGATGACTTTCATATGGGAGTAGAATTAGAATTGTACATCCACCTTTTACTGGCATTTCAGAATTTTTGAGAATTCTCTGTCTAACATGAACATTTTCTGAATGTCTTACTTTATTTCCCTGAAGATTTCCTATAAAAAGAAAGCATTGTAAACATTGGAAGGGGTTACTTTTGATCTCTGGCATATGGCTGAGTGCTAATTTAACTGTTGGTATGAACCTCTGTGTTGTTAAGGATATTTTCTCCAAGGCTGTCTGAATTTGCAGAGCCATAACATGCAGCTGCAGGGATGTTGTGTCACGCTGTCAATGGGAATGCTGCAGTCATTCCTGTTACTTGGTGTCAGAAAGGATACAGCCAAAGGAGGGGTAGTTTAGAAGCACAGTGGGGAGACTATTAAAAATGGATATTAAACAGAGGGGGGGGTGGAAATCAGTTACTTCATGTAGTGTTTCATTCATGCTTAGCAAGGAGCAYTCCCTACTTTTCCTCTCCCCAGCCAGAATTTCACTGAGGTAGAATACTGAAACACTGCTAGTGTCAGATGGGATGTTCTCATTATCCATATAGATTTAACATTTTTTTGAATCCATATTTGCCCACTAGAGGGCTGATTGCATCTTCCCCTTTAATATTTGATGTTGTCTGAGGCAGAATGTGAAGCCCTTAATTAAATGGATCATTTGTTCCCTTGAAAAGCCTGATACCACACAATATAAAATTCTGAAATGCAGCTTTCTGTTATATTCCAGGGCTTTTTTTAACTCATAAGGCTCATGAATTTGTTAATGCTGCATAACATTCTTGCTCTCTCAGGGTTGATGCTAATTAGATGATTAGAAAATGAGTCTTTACAAGATTTTTATTCTAAATGTTGTTTGAAAAACAATATCAGAATGTCTATAGCTGCTAAATTCAGACAGCAGAGGTTGGTTGGTTTGGTTGGGGGTTTTGTCTTGATTTTGGGCTTTTTGGATGGCTTGGGGTTTTTGGGGGGTTTTGTTTTTGTTGAGGGCTGTTTTTGCTAACAATTGGGTTTATCATCCTTACATGAGTGCCAGTGAGATTTTGAAACAACTTCTTCATAATTTCATTTTGAAAATAGAAAAGGACATGCAGTCTTCTCTTCATTAATGTTTATCTTAGAGAATTTCTCACCTGAAGGCAGATACCTGGCAAAGAAAATAAGTAAAGGAAAAGGCACACAGAAATTATGGAAGATAAGATAGATAGCTTTATGGCACTATAGATTTAATGCATGRAACTACTTAGGCTTGATAGCATGCAAAGTTCATTAATTTTTCAGAAGAGAATAGACTGTTTAAAATACAGAGTCCTGTGTAAAGCATAGAAGAGATTGTGCCCAGCATTCTCTTTAAACTAGAGCAAAACCCTTAGAACAGCATTTCTCTCAGAAAGGTACCTGGATTCTCAGAACATTGATTGTAAGGGCCAAGTGATTGAGACCATGCTGTAGCCTCTGAGCCAAAGAGGAATTATTCTCTTGGTTGGAAAAGGCCTGTTTCCTCTTGAGTTTTTTTAACTTCCAGTGTCAGTTGTTGTTTCTCCTTTTAACTYCTTTTGCTCATAAAATAAGCCCCTAGTAACTGATACTTTTCTCCCTATGTAGATTTATTTGGGCATTGACCAAGTTATCTTTCAAGCTTTGCTCCAAACTTAGATTGACTGGAGTCAATGAATCTTTCCCACAAAGCCAATTTTCCACATGCCATCATTCTTTAAGTTTGCTGAGCCTGTGTGGGATTTTTTAACAATTGTTAACGACATGGACCTCAGAATTAGACATGCTGTTGGCAAAAACAGTCGCTCTACTCCTGTTTGCAAAAATGATACCTGCTATTCCCCTTTGTTTTGGTGATCCATATTACCACAGCATCACACTGGGAGCTTGTTCTCAATTGAATGGTTCCTTATCAGAGGGCTGATGTTGTGGAACGGGGCTCRATTGAGAGTAATGGAAGTCAGCATCTGCTGAGAAGGAGCTTGCTAAATGTCAAGCATGGGATTATGCTGTAATTGCWTGCATTAGGAAGGAACTGGACTTGATAACTCAAAGGTATTTTTCAGTTCAGTATTCGCCTCAAAGTTATTTCTAATGTTGGTGCTTTTAAAGATACACAGTCCTCTGACTTGATTACTGCCAAATACATATGCTGTATTCAAGTCTAGCATTTCAGGAAGTCTGGCTCAAACTGTGCAAGTTGAGATAGTTTGGTTTATAAACCAAGAGCTTGTTTTTAAAAAAGATAGTTCCGATGTTCCTTTTTACTCCTCATATCTTTAATAGGTGTAGGCATAAACAGCCCAATTGCTTCTGTTTGTTGGTTCCAGAAGGGATTGGCGTGTGTGTGTGTGAGGAGGGATTTATGTAAGGATGTACTTAGTTTGCATGTTCTGTTAGGGCTTGCAATTAAAATGGATTAAGAGAAAGATGAAGGTAGGACACGTGGAACAACGTTAGAGATGATAATGAATGTAAAAGAGCAGAGGTGGAGAGGAGGGAAATGTTACAACAGGTGTGTGTTTGAGTACTAGCTAGGGAGGCATGGCTTCCAGCTAAATGGCTTGGAATCAAGCTGTGGCTTGGAAGGGCCTGTGGAAGTTGAGGTAGGTGCTGGATAAATACTGCTTACATGACMTATGCTAATCAGACTGCACAAGTCATAAAGCTTCTGGCTCCAACAGGGTCACAACTGTAGATGTAATGAAGTATCCTCCAGAGAAGAGATGGATATTGGGAACAGCAGGACCAGCTCTCTGTGGCATGTAATACCTGCAGAGACTTCTGTTGCTGAGCAGTTTTGTATACACTATAAAACTCAAGGAAATTCCCAGGCAAAAACACTGTGAAGGTTGAATTCACATTAACCAGACTTGCTCTGGATGGCATTTCTTTCAAATATGACCCTGGAAGTTACATATACAGTTTCAATTTTGTCTTTAATGCAAATGTAAAACCTAAATTTAGGTAAACCTTAACTCTGCCCCTTGGCTGACACACATTTGCGAGGGTAAAATAAGTTCAGTAACTTGGATGCAGCTTCTGTCTCTCTGTCAAATTATCAACCACAAAAGCTTTTACCATCTTGAATTGTAAAACAGTATGAGCTTCTCTTAACAGCCTGGTGTTGTGGTGGAGGAACAGTTTTTAACAGCAGCATCCATAGCAGAGCGATGCCAACTGCTTCTTCTTGTTCAAAGAGTCTGTGTGTTAACAAATACATTTCTGATCATTATGGGAACAGATGGATCCAAACGCCCAGACAAAACATTTTGCATCACATCAGTAAGACTGAAATGATGAAAGCCCACTAGACCAATGAAATACCACATTTGATATCCAGACCATCTTTGTGAGACCCACTAGGAAGGCAGCACAGCTGTGATTTTCAGCATTTTGTATCCTAAACATTTGAGTGTCTTACCCAAAAATGGGAGCAGAGTTAAGTGGTTTTGGCSATAACTGTTCTCACAGACTTCACAGTACATGGAATTAACTTCTAATATGAACCATAACCTGAGATTTCCAGGTTTTCCAAGTTTTTTTTTACTGAAATAAATCCTATATGAACAAAGCAGGGGTTTTGTCTGGGAATTATTCCTGTCCCCTTAGGATTGCTGTTGGAAAATTTCCAGAGTGCTGCCCTATCTCTCTTGCAAGCCAGTTGGTTTCTTACAAGACCTTTACTTGTCTGGCTTTGAGGTATTGTTTGGTGTGTTACGCCAGTTCCCACCTTAAATTTGTTCCCCTGGGACTGGAGCACTCGTAGCCAAGCGGTGTCCCAGGTGAAACCTCCCCAGTTCCACACAGTGGGAACTCGYCCCTTCTTCACTTAGTTTTGGAGATCCCATGTACTTAGTGTTGATCCATATTGAGGCTTACCCCCGTGTGACACTGTCTCTTCCCCTCGCCCCGGTCCCAGGTGCCGGATGTGTTCGCTGACCTTCTACTCCAAGTCGGAGATGCAGATCCACTCCAAGTCCCATACGGAGACAAAGCCACACAAGTGTCCTCACTGCTCCAAGAGCTTCGCCAACAGCTCGTACCTGGCCCAGCACATTCGCATCCACTCAGGGGCCAAGCCCTACACGTGCAGCTACTGCCAGAAGGCCTTCCGCCAGCTCTCCCACCTGCAGCAGCACACACGGTAAGGGCCAGAGGAGGCTGGGGGCCCTCCCCACTGCATGTTGCTGTCATCCCAGCATGCTGTGAGCACCTTCTGTGGGCGACTGCCTGGGGAGACGTGGCTGATTTTCACAGGCTGGTCAGGTCTTGTACACGTTAGACCGGCAGTAGCGGTATCCAACACGTGAGATTTGTCCCTGGCTTTGAGGGGCTGGGTGCGCTCAGGTTAGCGCTGCTCAGTCGGAGAGGCGTTGGCAATGGAGTGACGCTTTGTGACAGGAGCTAGGGCAGGTTGTGTCAGTGTGAGAGTAGAGTGGGCACAGGAGGACTGTTCCCTGTCACCCCAGTGTAGTTCAGCCAAACATTCAAGTCCAGGCTTGCAGCCCCCCTGCTATTTCAGCCATAGGCTTCCCACACACAGCTCTGCCAATGCCCCTCAGTCCAAGCTCTATAGTTCCTCTCTCTGGATCATCCCCCGGTGCGTACAGACCATGGTCTCTTGAATCCAAGGGGAGCACAGTGTGAGACCAAGACAGTTCATGCTGTGTTCGGAGTTCCTTCRTGTAGCAGATAGCGTGGTGCTGTCCCACCCCCTTTGTGCCCTCATTCCATCAGCACTAGCCAGATGGCGGTCATGTCCAACTGCTGCTGCTCCTCCTCCTCTTCGGCAGGATCCACTCCAAGCTCCACACGGCGATTGTCAAGCCGCACAAGTGTCCTCACTGCTCCAAGAGCTTCGCCAACACATCCTACCTGGCCCAGCACCTCCGCATCCACTCGGGGGCCAAGCCCTACACCTGCCGCTACTGCCAGAAGGCCTTCCGCCAGCTCTCCCACCTGCAGCAGCACACACGGTAAGGGCCAGAGGAGGCTGGGGGCCTGGCCCTGGTCCCCCCGCGCTGCCGGCATGCACCTCTGGAGCACGCGCGCCAAGCATGCGGGGGGCGGGCGGGGAATGCGGCCGGCTGCACCCCCAGAAGGAGGTGACCCACCAGAGTGGACGGAGTGGAGGCTGCGCAGGAGACACTGACCACGGCAGGGCTGAGGTGGGCACGTGCTGTTCCTGGGGATCCTTGGTCTTGCACCGCGGGCGGCACAGAGAGAGAGCGATAGAGAGAGAGGCATTGGCTGTAGGGGATCCCAGCCTGGCACCACGGGGGTTGGACTGAGTGTGTGGAAGCTGCTCCTGGCATTGCAGGGGGACAGGGACAGATTAACACTGTAGGTGAACTCAGCCTGTTACTTAGAAGGAAAAGTGTTGGAGTGTCTATCCTGAGAAGGAACAGAGCTGCTTTCTTGGTAGTGTGGAAGCAAGAGAACAGACTCCTCTTGGTCGTTTAGGACTGCTGAGATTGGAGCAGGAAGYCTGGACCTCCAAACCCCTTCCCAATACATTTTCAGGTAGCTCACTTGCTGAGCTGTCCAGGCATTCATAAGCTCTTGCTCCTCAGTCCTAGTMACTCTCTGAAATCTGCTTGACTGCCTGTCTTCTCCAACTTCTAACTGGACATGGGAGCTGGGCAGAGCTCTTTGTCCAGCTAAAACAGCATCTGGAGGCAACATCATCCTCTTCACAGCAGCAAGCCCTGGCAGTCTGCCCTGTCTGCCTGCTCACTGCCTCCCATTTGTGCTCTTCCTCCTCAACAGTATCCACACCGGGGACCGACCCTACAAATGTGCTCACCCTGGGTGTGAAAAGGCTTTCACCCARCTTTCCAACTTGCAGGTAAGGAAGGAGCTGAGCATGTYCTGCTGGCCAGTGGGGGTTGCAAGGATGCCTGTGGTAGAGGAAATGGAAGAATTCGGGCAGCTGGGAGGAGAGTAAAAGAATACAGAAAGCTGTTGAAGCCMTGGGCAGGGAAAAGATTCGTGACTTCTGTGGCACTAGTGTCCCAAAGAAGTCACATAAACAGTTGCATCCTGTAAAATTGTGAACTTGACTTGAAAGCAATGAGACCGTAGTAGAGTTCCTCCCATCTGTTTTGCAGTCTTCTAACTTTGCTGGGCCAAGACTTTTGCAAAATGTTGCACCAAATAAAGTCTGGGTATCTGGTGGGTTTTTTGTTTGTTGTACAATGAAATGGAAGGGATAAGGGTACGGATGTAGGGAAGCAGAGGTGGTGTGTCCTGTTGCAGTACCCCGGAGGAGGGGGACTGTAGAGTGTGCCAAATAGSAAAGAGCTGTAAACACCTGCAAGCAGTTAAAGCAAATCCTGCCCTGAAGGTATTAGATGCAGGGAACAGATGTGATGGGGAACAGGAAAGGAGAGGCCAGGAAAAAACTCACAGAAACTGAGAAGATGGGGGTGTGGAGCATTAGGAGTCTCTGCTCTTCAAACTCCTASTATGCCTGAGAAGAAAGGGCATGTGTGGGGAAGGTATGGTGGGCTGGAGGGARTAGTTCTGTCCCCTGTGCTAGGAGTCAGATGTATCTTCCTCAGCAGCCAGGGGCCTGGGAAGCTTGTGGGCCTGGCTGGAAGGGAGTGTGAGGTAAAGCCGTCTCCAGCACTGATACTCACTTTCTTCCTCACACTTGCTTTTTCMTTCCTCCCCGCTGCTGCCACCCTGTAGTCCCACAGACGGCAGCACAACAAAGACAAACCTTTCAAGTGCCACAACTGCCACCGTGCGTACACGGATGCTGCCTCATTGGAGGTACACCTGGCCACGCACACGGTGAAACACGCCAAGGTCTATACCTGCTCCATCTGCAGCCGGGCCTACACCTCGGTGAGTTTTTGCTGGCCCTGGCGGGTAGCAGAAGTGGACAGACTTCCCAGGGAGCAGCTCCTCTAGATCCAGTGGGAGGAGCCCCCTGAGTTGCCGTGTCCCTCCCTGTTGGCTTTGGCTTTTGTGAGTGCCATTCCCTCTTCTAATGCGGTTCTTCCTGTTGCAGGAGACGTACCTGATGAAGCACATGCGGAAACACAACATCCCTGACCCACAGCAGCAGGTGGTTCAGGCACAAGCCCAGGCCTCGCAGCAGCAGCAGCACTTCCAGCCGCAGGGCGGGGGGGCAGCAGGGGGCCCTTCTGGAGACACTAACCAACCCAACCCTCCCCCCCAGTGCTCCTTTGACCTGACTCCTTACAAGACTTCAGAGCATCACAAGGACATCTGCCTCACTGTCAGCACCAGCGCCATCCAAGTGGAGCACCTCTCCAGCTCCTAGAGAGACCTCAACCCAGGGAGCAGAACGCCTCTTGTGCATAGCCTGTGCCAGGGGCACCGCTTGTGCAGCGGCCCTCCTCGTGCAACAGTTTCTGGCCTCTCCTCCTGCAACAGCCTCTTCTGGCCATGTAACCCTGTTCATGGCAGCCCCTTGAACAACAGCCTGTCTCAAGGGGGTGCTCCTTCTGTGCAACAGCCTGCCTGGTAGGAGGATGCTTCCTTGTGCAAGAGCCCCTTTCCTGTGCTGGGATCACTTCCTCATGCAAGAGCCCCTCCTTTGAAACCCAAAGAAAGGCCCCTGTTTTGCCTTCTCTCTCACTGTAAGATGCGTACGAAGCAGGGTTGTGTGCTGAGGCACACATGGTGCATGGGATGGAGAGATGGCCCTTGTATGTACAGGGGCTCGGACATGTGTTTTTAACAGGCCACAGAAGAATGTGGCAGGGTTCACAGCTGGATGGGGTTCTTTGAGGATTGCCTTGAGTGTCTAAGAGAGAAATATCCATTCCTGTCCCTCCTGCTTATGAAAGGGAGGAGGGGTCACTCGTCCTGCCCCAAGGACTGRATGGGAGAAACCTTCTCCCAGTGGAAGGTGAGACCAGTGGAGGTGGGAGAGGTGAGGCATGTTCTCTGGGATGGACAGGTGCCTACACTGCCCAAGGGCTGTGGAGTATTGCATTCTTTCTCCTCCCCTGGTGGAGAGCAATAGAGAGGAGTCTGTCTGAACTGGCTGCTGCCTCTCTCTCCCAGCTGTCTGAGCAACAYAATGGCCCCATAGGAATGTGGGTTCCTGCTCATTGCTCTTCCTGCCTGTTGTGGATGATATCCTAGCAGCTTGTACTCCTCCTCCTCTCCCTCCTGCTTTTCCCCCCACCTCCTCAGAAAAGCCTGCAGGCATCAACAACAAACCAAAAAGCAACTGGAGGGAGTGTAAGTGACTGCCAAAATAATCGTCACCCTTCTCTCTACTCCCATTCCTGAAAGGCGGAATGACAGCAGTTYCGACACTCACATACCTGTCCTGCCACCAGTTTCCCAAAGGGAAAGAGGAGGATGAGGAGGAGGAGGAGGAGGAATAGACCAGTCTTTTCAAGGAGYTGGCAGGAGGCAGGGAAAGGCTAGCTTCTCCTGCTCATCTCCTGCCAGAGTGCTCTCCCAGGCTCCCTCTTGCCAAGACGGGCTGGACTCACATGGCAGTGGTGGCCTCTTCTGGACCCTGGTCATGGGAGAGAATCCCCAAAAGGTGGACAGTGCAGAGAAGGGGATGAAGGTCCCCACAGAGAGACCAATCTAATGAGAAGGGGGAGCCAACAAGAATAAACTGAAGGCCCCTTGAATTTATATATATATATATATATAAATATCTATTCCCCACCCCTGGCCCGCTCTGTCCTTGCTGTAACTGTTTCTATCTCTGTGTTTATAAAACGCATTATCCTGGCGAATTTTTATTTTCAATCTTCGTTTGTTTTTCCCTTTCTCTTTGTCTTCAATTCTTCTTCCTCTTATTTTTTTTTTATTGGTCCACATGACTGCTAGTCTTGTGTGTTACTTGTTAGTTTCTTTGGATCATGGAGGCTGACTCGGAAGAGAATGAGAAGGCAAGGGAAAAAGCATGTGTTGTTGGGTTTTAAATTCAGTCACCCACCCAAAGCCTATAGAATCCCAGACTTCTGTATGAACAACCAATAGGGGCTTTTTTTTTTTAAACCACCCTGTATAGAAATAAATTGGTGTAAAAGGCTCCTTGAAGGTGCTGCTGCGAGCACCCTGCCCCTGTGATGTGTTTTCCTTCCCCTTGCACCTGACCCCTGCAGGAGCCTCTGGCTGCTGTGAGTCCCGAGGGGCTGTGCGGGCGGGCGTGAGGGCGGCACATCCCTCCTTTGGCACTCCGTGGTTTGCACARGGAAAGCGAGGAGCTCTGCACCTGGGGAGCCTGTGACAGAAACCCTTTTCTCTGTGTTTTTTCACTAGGGTTGGCTGCAAACGGGTGGAGTGTTTGGTAGGTACATAGGTTAGGCTACAAGGAGCTGTCAGGTTTTCCTCTTGCATTTCGTAGGTGACATTTCAATSCATTTACGCTGTATTGAGCCCCAAGAACTAATGCCTATTTGAACTGTGTTGACAAAATGCATTGGCTTGATTTTTCAGGCACTGGGACACAAAATCCATTGGCAGTCTGCTGCAAGGGCTTCCTGCTCTCAGTGTTTAAMTATTTAAGCCAGATTTCTCCTTGCTTTGGCTTCTGGTTACTAGTTCTGTGAACATCCATCCCATTGATTTAGAGAGCCTGAATGGAACTTTTCCCCCCAAACTTACATTTAAACACTCTAGTGTCCCTTCTCAATCCACTTTTTGACAAGGTAAACAGATAAAATTCCGTAAATCTTCCCCTGTAAGAGATTTCCTCCAATCCATGATTTATTCTTGTCTTTTCTTTCTATATCTTGTCAAGTTTTTCAGTATCTTATARAAATGGTCCTTTTCAAATTGAGTGTTGAAGCCCCAGTGCCGTGGAYGAGGTTCCCCATGGCCCTTTGCCTTAAGTCTGCAGAGGATTGTGTTTTCCCTGTTCTCACAGCATTACACAAGAGCTCACAGTGGCTGATTGTCTGGTCAAGTCTGATCACCCAAAGTCTTGGCCTTCCATGATGGTGTTTTCCCTTATCTACAGGTATGCTTTGGGCTCTTATTTCTCGGATGCTTCATGTGAGGCTGTGTCCAAGTCCAGTCTGTGTGAATGGACCTGGCTGACTGATGGACCAGGCTACACACAGCTTTCCCACTTCTGTCACCCACAAACTGTATCAGTTGTTATTTTTACTTTCAGATCCAGGTTGGAATGCAATGTTGCATCTGACCTATGCTAACTTGAAAAGCATCATTTAGCACAACTTGTCTTTAGCTTCTTCTTGAGACTTGCAGGCTGGGCATTTCTTAATTCTCTTCGTATGTGATTATGTACAGTAAATCTTYCTCACATATGGTGCTAGGCCAATGCCTTATAAAAATTTTAAGTATGTTGCACCTATGCAGTTCCCTTTGTTAAACCAAATGTATAATGATCTCATCTAAGAATGAAATTAGGGTTTGGGGTTTTTTGGTTTTTTTTTACTACAAAATCTGTATTTCATAAAACCTTTGTGTTACAGATTTTATTTTTTCATTCACTAATTCTTCATCTCTACAGATTTTCCCRAATTTTGTCCATCAAGTTGTTTCATTTGCCTTTTGGGAGTACTGTCATGAGTATTAAGTACTCATGAAGTACTTAATGACAGTACTCATGGAGTACTGTCATGAGTGTCTTAAGGTATTTCTCAGATATCCCAGGTTTAGTTAAGATCAGAATCACTGAGCTAGAGAGCTTGTTAGTGAACTCTTTCGGGATTCCTGTTTCTTTGCTGATTTAAAAACACATCCCARGTAGGTGTTGTCTCATCTCCTACTTTGGTACTAAGGTACTAGATAGAAGTTGCTATTTTCATATGACTGCTAAATTCTGTTCCTTTCTTGATACGGAGTTGGAAGTATTTGTTGAYGGAAGTATTTGTTGACTGGTTTCTCCTGTTCTTTGTCACTAGCATTTTCACTATTTTTATCTAGCATGGATCAGTGCTACTAGTAGGGTTCCTTTGTTTATTTTATGATTGAAAGGAACGAAAGAGCAAAATATTCCTTTCCTTTTACCACTAGTTTTTGCTAGTCACAAAGTTTTTCTTAACAGTTTTCTCTATTTTTATAATRTCTAATTTATGTTGGTTGCTGTCTGGCCTTCACCGTTTCCATCTGTTACRTTTCTCCTTACAGGAGAGTTTAATTCATATTCCTATGCCTTCTTTCTTTTTTTTCCATGGACAACTCAGTTTATAGTTTTGCTCACCTTGGAAGTTACCAGGCTCAGCACAGGTTTATTACTACTATATTCCACGTGAACAGGACAAAGCTGCTAGCTTCACTCAAGTTGTTCTCTCATACTGAATGCATCATCTTGAAGTCTGAAAAATTACTTGGTTTGCATGTAGCGTATTGAATTAAGTTAGGAAGGCTTTAAAATTTGGAATAATACTTTGCTGAATGGCTGAATTCCCTGGGGAGTGGCTCACAAGTTAAAATTCTTTGCAATGATTTTCATTTTATATGTTGAAATCGCCTTTCCTGGTCCCTGGTTTGATGTTTTCTAATATCTGCTATCCCTTCCTTTCTTGGAATCTGCTGCCTAGCATGGGCATCCATATGTATTTAAGACTGTACAATTCCTGTGTTACCAGTAATTTCAAAGGTGTTGCTGTTTGTGTTTGTGCAGTTCACTGCTAAGCCTATAGGTTTTATTGTTTCCCATGAAGAAACGAAATATTTCTTACTAAGGGACTTTCCCATTGAATTTCAGAATTGCCACTTTATTCCAGCCCTTTTTTTTTTTTCTTATCAATGAGAATTTGTTTACCCAGTCCTGTTGCTGATGTGGAAATAATTGAAGATACCTTACCCTCAGAATCTTTGTCACTTTTTTGAGTTTGGATTAAGTCTTCCTCTTTGGATTCCCAAGGTTTTTTATCATATTCAAAGTGCTCTAAGTGGTTTTAGAAGTACAGTTGCTTCCAGTGAGACACAAAATGTAACAACTTGTACAAAATTCTTCCCTCTTTAGATGAAGCCTGAGGTTTCGCAGTATGCAGCTTTTCWGCTTTGTGCACTCAAGCCAACAACGGTTCAGTTATTTACCTCCCACTCACAAGAATGGCATATTCTCTTAACAAGTTTCCATGGTCCTTCTTCAGCATCATGAATTCTTTCACCTTGCATTTTCATTGCGATGCCAATCCATTCGTTTCTATATGTCTCTACTCAAGAAGACTTGACAATGACTCTGGAGTTCTGTATGAGATTGCATCTTGTATCTTTGCTGAAAGGCAATAGCACTTATTCTTGTCCTTTTCCAAGCTGATTTTCTTTTCTTAGCTGGATTTTACAAATTATCATTGCTTTAAAAGGAAACATCATGTAGGCTGGAAATMATTTAGAAAAGTCACCCACAAACAGTAACTGAATCTCAGCCGTGACTAACGATAGTATTGCTGGTCTATAATTCAGTTAAATCTTCAAGAAAGATTTGAGACTTTTATAATTTAAAGCCTTATGGTTAATCAACCATGTCCCTTGTTATAGTTTTTTTGTTGGTTATCACTGCCATTGAAACTGCCATTCTATATTACTACTTTTTTATTTTAATCCATAGGCTCTTGTTATGCCTTTGTGGAGTACATTAAAGTCTTCTGCTATAAGTCTTTCTTTCTGTATAATGAATTACAGACCATGATCAAGTCTCTGTTTTTGTCTTTCCAAAYAGCTAAATTGAATTGAGCTGGTTTTGGTATCTCACAATAAGGCTTGGCTYCATGGTGTAGTTCTTATCTGTTGCCTTTCTTTTCACTTTCAGTGACCAGGCTGTGTAGTGTTCAGTTTAAGTCTTGCTGCATTAGGCCTAGATGGCTATCTTGAGCCACCAAACTTACACTGCCATACAAGGATATCTGCTTCTTTTAATGAGGTCCTTAAATTAAAACAAACAGCATTATGTTTCTTTTCTTAGGTGAGTGCAACCCCTCATAGTGTCAACGACACTATGATTTTGCCACATCAGTGTTAGGTTAACTGCCTTACAGCAACCYGGATGAGAGACTTTGCAAATAGTTTTTAAGTAAAAGTATTTGCTGGTCTTCTGGAACACATTCAGAGCTTCAAAGTTGTTTGGAAAAGAAAGTCCATTGCTTCCATCTGCTTGCCAGACAATTCTTTTCAAATTACTGATTGTCAGTTGTTTCTAGCTATGCAACTTCTAGGATTTTTATTTAATGGGTAGAACTAAGCATCTTCCTAAATTTCATTGGCAATAGGTAATATTTCATTACCTCACGGATGTGTCTACATCATCCAACTTTCTTCCTAATATAGAATATAATTATGAGATTCTGTCTGTCTTCTATATTTTTATTGATTATTTTATCATCTTTATATCAACTAAAGGATATATATAATGTTTAGGATTTTCTTCTAATATTTTGCAGGTAATGTACCTGAAAGCTGCCCAAGTTTACTAGTGCAGTTTCAGAACACAGAATGAAATTGCTCTGTACACTTCCTTAACTACAAGATAGGTACCTGTTCAATCGTCCTTTCAGGTACAACAGATTAAATTTGTGTGCATGGTTTCTTGTTTCTGTATAATAGAACACCAAAGTACTAGAGAGATGTAGTAACTTGGTCCAACAAACATTTCGATTTCATGTAGTGTCTGTGTAATGAATGGAAAAAAAACTKCAAGAAAAGAAATGGTGACACCAAAGAACTAGAGTCTATGCCTAGTTTTGCTACTGAAGTAGGATATGTTTTTGAAGCATGGACACAGCTATAATCTGTGGCCTTTGGCAACCTCTTTCATTTGTAAAGCTAATTAACCCCCTTAGGGCCAAGTGCTGCAGATCAACCGTTTGCTGTTTGTAAGAATGAAGTGTGGTTACCTCTTGTGTTTCCTGAAGACAGGAAATGCAAAGTTCAGGGAACTCTGAACTGAGAATGTTAGAAGAGTGAGAAGAGCTGACAGCAAAAAGGTAACTGAACAAGAGTCTGAGATTTTAGGTCTCCTGCAAGAGGATCCCTTCAAGCACTGGCCTTCACCTCACACTCATTGGACAGCAATTAAGAAGTCTCTAAGGTACCGAAAAGCTGGAGGCTTGAATTTGGTATGCAGATGTTTGCATTTCCAAGGGAAAATACACAGGCATCTGTAGATGAATAAAGGTTGAGAACCACTCCTGCAGACTGCTTCCGTAGGCCGTGCAGCTTCCCTGTGGGAGGTGTGTAGGCCTGGGCAGCACRGCTCATCCTGCAGGTCCTCTGCCAAACAGGAGCTACCTACAGGTTTAACTATAGGATATAGCTGTAGTAGACTGGGGTGAGRGGGAGGAGTGCCATAACCCCTGGGGTTGGTGTGTGCGGCTTTGTTACTACAGCACTTGCCAGAGGATCAGTGTATGAGGCGGGTGAGGGAAAGACATAAATGGTCATGGGCCTTGAGCTTATTTCAGCTGGGAAAGCACCTTCCTGCAAAATCATCTGCACCCATCCTCCGACTTCAACTTTCAGAAGTGTTTTCTCAAAAAAACAGAACTCTCCCCAAGCAACTATTGTGGTGACACTTCCTCTGTGGGTRAGGATGCTTCTGGAGCTCTCAGCAATGCAAACCTTTGCTTTAATTTTCTAAAGCAGAAAGAGCAAGCTTTCCTGGCCTCAAAGCTCAGGAATTAGTTTTTGCTGGATTGGTAGAGTTTCTACTGCTGTGAGACCACACAGGCACACAAAACTGCCTCTCCCCTTTATTTTGAAACTTCACAGTGGCAGTTAATGCAGTTAAAGACACATTTGTACACTTGACTGAGATTTGCCCATTCAAATTTTAGACAAGTGTCCCTGCCCTGTCGGTTATATCTGCAGTGGCAAGAAGTTCAGCTTGTCTAGAATTCTGACATCTTCCTAGCCTTGGATTGGAGGATAAGATGGGATTCCCAAGTGGTCTCTTAAGCAAATTAGTGATGTCTAAGAATGTCTAATTCTTAACATCAACTCCCTTCAGTCTGATAGCCCCAAGCAGAATGTGTTTGGGGGATTCTGGTTTAGGACTGTGACATGGTATAGGGAACAGATTTTATTTTTTCATGTAATAGCCACATCCTTCCCCTTAATTAAGAGTGTAAAGCCATTTATAAAATAATTTTGAAGACTTCTAAGTGAGTCTTAACAATAATGTTCAGCTAACTGAAGCCAGCTGCTCCACATGGGAACTGAAAAGACTAAGAAATGTGTTTTGAATAATTAAAAATATGTCATAAATAACTTAAATGACTTTAGGAAGAGGAATAGAAAACTCCATCTTCAGAACACAGAGGATCTCTGAATTAACCAAATAGTTTAACAACAAGATGGTTGATAGTTCAAACAGCTGCAGTTCCTTTATATAACAGCTCCTCAGTCTTGCAGTGCTGGCTGCTGAAAGACTTAATCCCAGTAYATCCATATAAATAAAGGCATGATGTCTTGGAATATCTTTCAGAGGAAAGAGACCAAAAGAAACCTAGTCACTTCTTGTAGCTAGAATGTGGGCGCACTCAGTCCTGAGCGAGGACTGTTTTACAGACTGTCAGAAAAAAAAMCAGAATGGTGTAGGTGAGTAGGCAGGAAAAGGTGTATGAAATGTAGTATTTATCAAACAAACCCAGTGCCTCCTAAACTATAGGATGCTAAGTGTATGCTGACCTCTTGAAAAAGCAATCCTCCATATCCTAGAACATAAGGATCAAAAGAACTAAGATAATTTGATCTCATTTCCTCCATAATCACATGGCAACACAACACCACACCGTGCACGCAGCAAAGGACAGCTGGGGAAGGGCTCTGCAACTCTGTAGCATGGGGATCTCCATCCTTCGAGTTACTCGTGGTGTACGGTCATGAAAGCGGGTCTGGCAGGATGGACAAAAAGAGCATGGTCACATGTTTAACTTCATTCCCTTACTTTATTAGTCTGTTTAAAGTGTTGTGTTCTACCAGTCCTTTTGCATCAGAGATCAGCGTCTCCTTTTATGACATGGCAGCAGCTGCCTGTCATTGGTGGATTACAAGGTGAATGGAAAAGCGTAGTAAAAAGTCAACAGCACTTCCTTGCCCAAGTCACAGGATCACAGAACGGGTCAGGTTGGAAGGGACCAGAGTAGGTCACTGCTCCACCCTCCCTGCTCAAGCAGGGTCATCCCGATCATATGASACAGGATTGCCTCCAGATAGTTCTGGAATATCCCCAGTGAAGGAGACTCCACCACCTTTGTGGGCAATCTGTCCCAGTGCTCAGTCACTCGCACAGGAAAGTTCTTCCTCATTCAGGTGGAACTTCCCGTGCATCAATTTCTGTCGGTTGCCTCTTGTCCCAGTGGCTGGAGTCTGACATTCTCCCTTCAGATMCTTATATCCATGGATGAGGTCCTCTCTCAGTCGTCTGAGTCTCAGGCTGAACAGGCGCAATGTTCCAGTGCTCCGCTCACCCTCGCTGCCCTCCGCGAGAAGCGCCGGGGGCGGCCCCACAGAGCCCGAAATGGCGGCGGGAGCAGGGCGGAAGTGCCCGGGCGGGCGGGCGGAATCGGCTTCGGCCGGGCAGAGCCGCTTCCGGGGGGCGCGCGCGGCCGGGAACCGCCGGAAGCGCCGGTGTGTGGGGCCCAAGATGGCGGCGGGGATGTACCTGGAGCACTACCTGGACAGTAAGAGCCGCCGGGGCGGGGCCGAGGCCGCGGCTGAGCCGGCCCGTGGGGGGCACGGACGGGCCGAGGGGCGGGGCCCCGCGGGGGCCGAGCGCTGCCCAGGRCTCTCGCGGGTTCTYTCATCCCCTCGGGCRCAGCCCGGCCCGGCTGTCGGGCGCYCGGTCCCCGGGCCGTGCGGAGAGGCTCCGTCCGTGGGGCAGAGCTCGGCTGCAGCTCCCGCGGGAGCCGTGACACCGCGGCCTYGCGTCTGGTTTGTCCCCGGAGAAAGGAGCCCGATGCTGCTCCAGCCGCCGCTCGGAAGCGGGGGCTTGGCTGTCAGTGGTTGCCTGGGGTAGACATCGAGCCAAAGATAACTTTTGGATCTGTGGGGCGGTAGTTATGGTAGCTTCCTACACTGACAATTTACAAATGCAGCCCTGTTTTTCTGGCCGAAGAGGAGCCCTTTAAATGCAAATGGAGTTGGTAACGTTATCGGAGCCCTCCTATTTTACCATCCCGCCTTAAGATGCTTATAACTTTGTCAAACTCTGCCCTTTGGAGATGAGACTTTCAGTGCATGTTTTACCCACGTGCTCTTAAAATAACCAAGCAGGTCCAAGCAGGAGTTGTTTCTCAGTGAACGGGCTAATGAGTTAGATTCAATAACGTGTTCTTTGAGTAATGCTGTGCTCACGTTTTCCTGCTGGTCCGGTGTTGGCAGCAGAGACGGGAGGATGTTCATAGGATGGTGTGTTTAAAGCATGGTAATYCTGGTAATGTGTCATTCTGGCAATCACTATTACTGGCCAGTTAAATCTCTCCCAATCTGTTTGCACATGCATGGATCTTGGCTCTTCAGAAATTTTCCTGCACGGTTTCTTACAGCACAGAAGTGATAAGGTGTTTAYATGGAGACAGAAGTCTCATTCCTTGTATCTTCTGTGCTCCTTTTGTCGTTAGGAAAGGAAATGTCTCTATGAACTTTCAAGAACCATAATAAATTTCAGTGAAAGCTGAAAAGAAGCTGCAGTTGAATAGACAAGGATCTAGGAACTGCAAAGAAGGAGGATGCAAAAGCCAGGATGAGGAGGCTGGTTGTTAGAGAGGASTAAAGATTTACGTTCTTGTGCAGTTCTCATTCTATTGCAGAAGTTGACCGAGGCTCCTCAGCTGGGAGGACAAGGGCTGGGAAAGGGGAGARGGAAGCAGATACACAAGGAGTGAGTGCTTAGGGAGGATGCAGGTTTTTCCTACAGGGAGGGCAAAGATGTATTTTGGATAAGAGCTGCAGAACAAAGATGACGGAGCAAAAGGCTGGGATGGCAGAGATCAGCAGAATGCAGCAGTGAGTGTGGACAGGTGTGGTACGTACCCAGGTGGAATGAAAGGAAGGTTGGTGACTGGAAAGTGCTCCCACCAAAGTTGAACACTTCCAATCATGTCGTCACTGTCAATTAAAATCAACCAACTCCCTGGAAACTTCTCTTCCTCTCTAGTGCAGGCATGCAGAGGAAATGAAAAACTGTTATTTTCTCTCTCAGCTGAGATTTGTGGTCCTGTGATTGAATTAGAGATTCTTGTCCTCTTGAAGGTRGATGTTAATATGGTGGAGTCACTGTTGAGGTATCCTGCTTAAAAAAAACTAAAGTGATATGCACAGTCCAAAAGTCCTTAAAAGTAACTGATTACAAAGATTTTAAGAAGAACAAAATGCTGTGACAGTTTAGCTGTTTTTGCTTACTCTTAGATCTCCAAGGCCTTTTTCAGTTTTGTCTGGTGCAATGTTACTTCCTATTGTTAGCTAATCATAAGGCACTTGCTGTGCTTGTTCTGGATTTCTTTTAGAAAAAACATACATGAATTGTAATACAATCAAAGAGCACYCATCAGTCTTCAGTAAGTTAGGCTGCTGATCGGTAATAACATATTTCTAATTACCCAGATTGTTCTTCGCTAAGCTCTCATCTTCTGGCCTTCTGCCTGAACTTCTGACTATAAAGACAGTATTTTAGACACAAGCCTTCTTGATGCTAACTGATTGACAGCATTCAGTTTCCTACTTTTTACATCTTTTTTTTTCCACTTTATTTCAGCATTTTAAAAACACTCMGTTCAGTTTTAAAGTAGCACACTAATGTCTCCAAACTTACTGAAATTTTATAGAAATAAATTTTCAGAACCTTTGGGCATCTCTTATTAAAAATGTCTAATTCTTAATTTATATCTGTGTCTTGGAACAGAATTCTTTTAGTATTATAGTGCTATTGCAGATACAGTTTTGAACTGAATTTCTTTTTTCCTCCCACAGAGATTCTCTTTCATATGGTTTTCTGTCTGGATCTGCTCAGGGAATGAATGAGGAGTGTGTGGTGAAAGAGGGCAGTTATTTGTAGGACCTCTTCATATCTTTGAATAAAGGAAGGTGTGTAAGGAATTAAGTGAAGATTGTAGGAAGAAAAAAGGTGGCCTCCTGTTTGAAGCAGTTGAATACCACCCTGACAAAGTGAGTTTGATGTTTTTATTTATGTTGTAAGTCCCACTTTTTACAGGTTTTTCTTGCTTGGATTTCGCTTCCCTCAGATTGTGAGTKGAGATTTTTGGTCAGAGAAGCAGATGTGCAGAATTCTCATAGCTCCAGCTGTAGTCTGCCTTGAACAGATAATTCTGCAAAGTCAGGCTATGTAGCATTTTTATACATTTCAAGAGCAGAGTTTGTAATTAGCTGGCATTCTTGGCCTCAGTAAATGTCTCGGTCTTCATTCTTTTGGTAAGGGAAGTGAGCCACTCTACTGCAGCATTGTGTAAACATTTTAATGTCACAATAGTGAACACCTTGAAAAGCTGATTACAAAGTTAATTTTCACATTGGGCCCTGGGTCTGAGTGTGTGACTTTGTATTGAGCAAARAAAAGAAGAAAAACTTTGAATCACTGCTCAGCCACTGGGAATGAGAAACACCTTGTATGAAACCTCGTGTGATTAGATAGTTTAAAACTGTATATTAAAATACATGGACAGTATGACAAAGCTAGTCATACAGCCCCAGTTGCTTCAGTTCATATATTTTGAGCCCTCTACTTTAGAYATCTGTAGTTCTTTTCAATTATTTTTTTACGAAGTAATCAAGGTAAGAATAGTTCTTAGTAAAAGGTGTCTGGCAGCTTCTTAGGTCAGGAATTTCAGTAGCTTTCAAGTCCTTGCTGTARTGTGAAACAGGGTTTAGACCTGGGATTAGGCATGCCTTTGCTTTTGCTCTAAGCATAATTGAAAAGCTGATCTGTCTGAAATRTGTTAGGCTCATGGCAGATGGGTTTGCAGTAGAAAAATATGCACATTCCTTGTGTGAACATCCTGACTGAGGAMCTCCATATCTTGTCTACTCCAATCACCTTCAGTCCTTCATCATACTTACTGAAGCTGTCCCTTCAATGACTAGACCGAGGCAAAGGTTTCAGGGAAGGGGACAAGAGGAGTGCGTTCTGTTCCAGTTGTGTTCTTCCTGAGTGTTTTTCTCCAGTGGCTTAATTTAAGCATAAAACGATTTCCATYTCTTCAAATAATTGGCTTCTTCCTGTTTCTAAACTTTTTTTATTCCTGGTTTTGAGGGGAGAAAGCAAGATAAATAAGTGCTTTCCCTCAAGCAGTAATGCAGTTCAGCTTTAGGAAGGGAAAACCTATGGGTGCAAAAGAGTTAAGAGATGTAGAAAGGAAGAAGATGGAAGAAAACAGTGTTTTGTGATTGAAGGACGGGATGTGTGTAAAGACTCGTGAGAAAAGTTTGCACTTGCTCTAACCTGAGTTATTGTGCTTGGCTCAGTGTTGGCCCTTACATGGGATTAGAAATACTGTTGTGGAGGCTTTGAGGGCTAGAAAGAGACAGTGTGATTAATAACAGATTTTCCAGAAGGTGAGATGCAAACTTCTTGTTTGGAAGTTTTGAGAGGATTGTAGAGCTCCTTTGTGAAAGACATTGTTGAAGCACAAATACTCAGAAAGCAGTGTCAAAGAATTTTCTACAAGTCTCTGTTTGTGTGTGAACATGCCTTGAGTGTGGGTATTGTCTTTATCGTAGAGGGAGCTGCTGTTCAACCAGCTGTGTTTTCTACCATCAGTGCTTCCCTGTTGAAGTGCCAGAATAAAGGACGTGTACCTAGTGACAAGACATGAATAATCTTTTATGGCAACATACCAAGGCATGTACCTCTCCTCAACAACAAGCATCGTTTCCATCTTTGCTCACCTCAAGTCCCTGAGGAACTAAAGCCAGCATTTCATCTAAATTAGACCTAAAACACATGAGCAGCAGGAGTAGCAGGTAACCTTGGTGAGCTCAAGAGGCAGAAGGATGTCATAGGCCTGGCTGCTCAGATGGCTGCATTATATTCTGTTGCCTTGGAGGCCACCAGTCAGGACCTGTGCTGGGGCAGACACTGGGACATATCTGCCTCACTGCAGAGGGTGATGGAGGCAACAGCTTAGATGAGACCTTAGCTGCTAAGTTAATGTGGTACTATGTAGTGAATTTACCTTGGACTTTTCCCCTTTTTTACACTGATTAAGGAGGCATCAAGTTTCCTTTGCTCTTTCTATTTGCATATGTCAGTAGGCACGTAGAGATGCACTAGTTCAGGGTTTGTCAGTGCCAGAAAACTTGAACCAGCATAAGCACAGAGCAACAGAAGYAGCACGTGCCCTCATGGAAGTCATCTTCTTTCTCATACAATCGACATGGGAATATTAGCTAACCCAGTAAAACAGGATTATTCTTTCGGAATAGCTACATCTGTCTGGATTTTCCTCTACAGATTTATCAAATGAGGGTGCGAAGGGTATCGTCAGCTAAATGCTCTTAGAGGACATGGGTGTGATGTCAGAAATTGCTGTAGGCAAACCCTTGATTCCTTCCCAGACCTGGCTGTGTTCCAAATTCCCCAGCAGTTCTCTTATCTCTTGCTTTCCCTACCTTCATTACTCTTAGCCGCTCCCCAGTGGAGCATGCAGCCATAGCCCCTGTCCTTGCC